GATAAAAGGCATAATTTTGTTCATATAATAACATTTTTTAAAAAGTACACTTACACATAATTTAAATAAACAACCTAATATATATCATAGACATATAAATTACACCATTTTAAATAATACTGATTACAAAAAGATCCTGAACATCATTGATTAATGCAAATAAAAGATCTTCAGATTGACAACAGTCAAGATATTTTACATCAATTTGTGCTTTTAAAACTATTGCTAGCTGCTTCTGGGAAAGCTAAAGTAACTGTATATACTGTAGAAAAAAGTTAATGCGCTTTTGATACAAATAGACAAGTCAACATCAGAAGAAGCACAACAATATTAAACATTATTTTTCAATTTCTTGAAATAAGAAAATCTATTCACGAAATACGTTTCTATGGTAATTGATAATTTAATGTTTTGACAAGTACATTAAGAGGGCTACTTTTTCTTGGTCACTAATGACAACAAACACTTGAGGTCTAGAAATATATATATATATTTATAGAATACACATTTAAGAGAACATCTAAAGAAAATGGGACAGTTTTCACATATTTGAAGTTCCTCAGAAATTCCACCAGGGTCCACCTTAGTGAGCCTTCACCATTGTCAATCCTTCCCTAACAAAGCCCCTCCACATAGCTAATAGGAAATCTGATGAAAGTCGTATGATTTGCTATGATTTTACAGACATGACTGTCATTCAGCCAAATTCCCCAAAGTGAATATAAATATAATTTCAGTTATGCTGGGCACAGATTAACAGTAGTGACCCACCGTCCTCTGCATGAGGAGATAATATCCAGAGAAAAACAAATGTTCCATGTGGAGAAAATATGTTGTTTCATATGGATCAATTAGTAACTAATTGGGTTGAGGCAAGCTTTATTTTTCCCAGTTGTAGTTGAAGAAGAGACAAACTATATATTTATTTGCCAAAGGAGGGATCCAGTTTGACCATCAGGTCATGGGGTGGCATGCTAAACTAACACTGCTCCCATCCAGAGAGGGCCATCCCTGGTGCCTAGTCAACTGAGGAAGGCCTGCATCCAGAGGGAACAGAATGGGACGGGATTCTAGTTCCCACTAATGCATCCAATTCCATGGGGATTAAAAAATAGGACAAATCCCAGTTAATATTTTCTCTGTGATTAGCTCTTGTAGGTTTCTGTGTGTTTTCCATGCCACGCGGAATGCTTTCTATTTGCATTAGAATTTCGATTCTTGGTTGGTGAGAGTTCTTTTAAAATATTCCCACTCCAGTTTTGTGGACAAGTTATAGGGAGTTTATACAATTAGACTAATAATCATAATTTTGGGTCGAGGTTGGGAAAAGAGGAGTGGAGCTTTCTGGTTTGGGGTCTAGGGACGTCTCTGTAAGGCGCTTCCACTCCCGTGGTTTTTCCATCTGCTGGATGGGTGTGTGATAACACTTACCTCATATGCCCTTTGAATTGGCGGAATGAAGCCTGCACCACACATTTTTCTTTGGAGAAGGATTACAATTATGGCATTCGAAATCCAAGTTTATATCTAGGGGATGTGATAATTACTTGTCATTATGTAACTTCTAATAAAAGCGTTGTTTAAAACAGCAGATTGCAGAACAGAAACAAATTGGGTGCAACTGCGGGAGATGAGCCTGAAAAAATAATTGCCAATTTATGAAAAGTCTGAATGCCATGCGGGGGGTTTGCATTTTATTCTGTCGGACACATTGTTTTCTTAAATATGCTTCTCAGATGCTTGTGCTAGAGGATGTTCATGTGTCTGGGTCAAGCTCGGTTGCATGAAGTCCAGACTTTAGTGCAGGTCTCAGGTATGCTAATACACCGTGATTCTCTAAGAGTTGAAGTAATATACAAAACACCCTAAACAGTACAATGTGATAACAGGTATACAATGAAAATGAAACTGTTCCAGCTTGGCACCTTCAGGTCAGCTAACTTTAATATTCTGTGTATTTTCAACATACCCGCTATCCATTGTCTTCTATCCTGTGTATCTGTTGCAGAGCAGGGTTCAGTCAACAAATAAAATGTGTGAAAAATCTCAATAGCTCTCAATTTTCTCAGTCATAAAGTGGAAAAATAGTCATACAATGTTTAAAGGGTTGAAGAAAAAAAATTAAAATTAAAATTAAAATTAAAAAAAAAAAAGGGATTCCTGGGTGGCGCAGCAGTTTGGCGCCTGCCTTTGGCCCAGGGCACGATCCTGGAGACCCGGGATCTAATCCCACATCGGGCTCCCGGTGCATGGAGCTTGCTTCTCCCTCTGCCTGTGCCTCTGCCTCTCTCTCTCTCTCTCTCTCTGTGACTATCATAAAATAATAAATAAATAAATAAATAAAGGGTTGAAGAGTTGGAGAGAAGTGAGCACAGAGCATTTTGTGACAAAGTTTGTTTTTTTTTATTAAAATCAATTTGAAACTGGGTTATACGTGAAAAATAGGTGTAAAAGAGGGGGGAAATGTGTAAGGGATTAATTACTATGCAATTACTGTGTTACTGTGAAGGCTTTAACTTTGCTAAAAATTCATTTGTAAAGGGGATAATCACACTTGCCTTGAAATGCTCTTATAAAAAAGAAAAAAAGAAAGAAATGCTCTTATAATCTGCCCAGCACCATGCCTGAGTGTATCATACGGCGTTGTGGTTGAGAGGGGAGGCTGGGAGCCAGCCTGCCTGCATCTGAATCTCAATCCTGCTCCTTACTAGATGTGCGATCCTTGCTATGTGTGTGATATTAGGGAATTGAATTCATTTCTTTCTGCCTCAGTTTTCCTGGAAAACAGTAAGAATATTTATATCCCAGGGGGCTGTGATGAAGATTACAGATAGAATAATTAATGTTAGATATTAAGAAAAGTTAGCTGCTCTTATTATTTCACATTTTCTACATAATAGCAGGGAAGAGCTCAGGCCTACCCTAATATTTTTTCCCCTAGGCTGCAGCTGCTTGGCTAGCGGTTAGACTCCATTTGCTCCCACTGTTCCCAGTCTGAGCTGTTTTAGGGAGTACCTTCCCCAACCAAGTTCCACAACTCTTGGGTTTGCCCCTCTGTCCTCCAAACCCATTTAGTTTTATAAAAAATTCAGCATTGCTTTTTTTGTGGTTATTAACATACAATTACATGAATGCTCCTGGCTGATTTGGATTTGGATTGCTTTCTCTCTGGATTATATCCACTATTTGCCAGTTCAACTGCCAGTTCAGTTAAAACATAGAGGAATTCTTGACATCTAGAATTCGGAAGAACATAGAAGAGCAAACTAGAAACAAAAATCCTACACCATCCCATGTTGGGCAGTGTGATAAGAGAGGAGGATCAGACCAACATGATGATGTGAGACAGTTGTCACATGGTTTGTTAGTTATATGACATGCTGGTGTCATTTCATCACCTTAGTGACAATTTAAAAAATAATAAATAGAGCATGTGCATGGTTGCTACTGTGATGTTATTTTGAATGCATCCTTTCTGGCTTATTAATGCAGTTTACCCCAAATCACTGGACTGTATGTTATCCTTAAATAGGCCAGTGAGGCATCAGTAAGCCAGCCAAGGCTTTTTTTTTTTTTAAGATTTATTTATTTTGAGAGAGAGAAAGAGCACATGCATGAGAGAGGTAGAGGGAGAGAGGGAGAGAGAATCCTCAAGCAGACTACCCACTGAGCACAGAGCCCGAGGTGAGGCTTGATCCCAGGACCCTGAGATCATGACCTGAGCCGAAACCAAGAGTCCAACACTCAACCAGGTGAGCCACCCAGGTACCCCAGGCAGCAAAGGCTTTTAAGAAAGAACCTTCTGGTAATCTCCCAAACACCTCGCACTAGTTCAGAAAGTGGGACTCTGCAGGGATGCCAGCAAGGAACAGAGAAGGAACAGGAAAGACACTATTTGATCCAGTATTAATAATGGAGTCCAAGTTTTCATATTACTTCAGATAGCTCAGCAAAATCTATAATTAAGCAAGTAAAGGTAGACTGAACACTGGTATATAACCTGTATATATTTAAACTTGCTTATGGTTTGCATTTCCTTTTGAGGACAATCCTAAAAATGAGCAAGATTTTTAAATGATTAAGATACTTACATTAGCTTGGCTCTTCAATGACATAGATAAATCTCTAAAGGCAGAAGGTAGAGTTGAGTGCTTTTCACGTGAATATACCAAAGAGAGGTTTCAACCATGGAGTTCAATTTCATACACAACATAATGTCTAGATGCATAGAATTCTTGTGCTCAGCAGATGAAGAGCAAAAGATCGCTAGTATTGGTGGCTTATTTACAGCCCTGTCAAAAATTTGTGAAAGTCTTTCCCAGGAACCATTCTAGAGAATCATCTTACATAAAGCAGGATGTGTGCATGGGAGGTCACTCACACAGGTTAGGGCACAGCTTTTTTGGCACAGCCTAATAAATGGAGTTGCAAGTGAGTGGTGCACTTCCACCAGAGAGGACTTCAAGCAAATTCTAGAAGCAAAGCTGGCATTAAAGATAAACGTGACAATAAGCTTCAAGGAGAGGAAAATTCCACTTGTAATAAAAAAGGTCATTAAGACTTAATTGTAAAGACTTCAACTCAGAGAATATTTTCTTTCTACCAAGAAAAACACTTCTATTCATATTTAATGTCCTAAATTAAGAAATGGAACCCTATGATCCAGCAATTGCCTAGTAGGTATTTACCCAAAGGATACAAAAATACAGATTTGAAGGGGTACATGTACAGGGCACCCCGATGTTTATAGCAGCATTATCAACAATAGCCACACTATGGAGAGAGCCCAAATGTCCATTGACTGATGATTAGATAAGATGTGGTGTGTGTATACATGCACACACATACCACATCTAATGTATACACATATACACATGTGGGCATGCACAGCGGATATTACTCAGCCATCGAAGAGAATGAAATGTTGCCAATTGCAACAACATGGATGGAGATAGAGTGTATTATGCTGAGTGAAATAAGTCAGAGAAAGACAAATACCATATGATTTTACTCATGTGGAATTTAATAAAGAAAACAGATGAACATACGGGAAGGGGAGAGAAGGAAAGGGAAACAAATCATAAAAGACTAAATGATAGAGAACAAACTGAGGGTTGATGGAGGGAGATGGGTGGGGGATAGGCTAGATGTGGGGTAGAGATTAGGAGGGCACTTGCTGGGATGAGCACTGGATGTTGTATACAACTGAAGGATCACTGACTTCTACTCCAGAAACCAATATTGCATTGTGTGTTAACTACCTAAAATTAAAAAAAAAAAAAGGAAGACACTAAATTAATTTTTAGTTTATATTCCACTTCTAGGTCTGTTTTCATTGTCCCTCTAGTGCAAACTCTGCACCGAACACTACAGATCCCATATCTTCCATATTGTCCACCAGACAATCTCATCAACCAGAAAGGTGATGATGTGATCTCATTTTAAAGCCAAAGGAGATATACACATCAGTCATTTTCAGAGAAGCATTAAAAATAATCCTTTAGGTTTCTCTGAAAATAGCAGCATTATTTTAAGATAGAGCAAAATCACGGAAGGGAAAAAGAACCCCAAACAAATGAAATCTTACACAAAACAAGAATTGGATTTTTATCCAGGATTATAGTGATCCATAGATTAAAGAGACTTTTGTCATCTGTCTCCTGACCCATGATGTAGATGTAAACAGACCCATGGTTAATCTAAACAGATGCAGTGACTACAACACCCAGTCTGTTTGTGTACAAAGTGGCAGAAATTAAACCTTAAATTAATAGGAATTTATTCTGCCTAAATCCCTAATATAACTGATAAAATGTTGCTTTCAATAAGATAAATGCCCAGATTTAAAAAAAATCCAACAACAGATCCTCTATCTAGGACAAATAACTTGCTCCTTAATAACATATTTATAATGAGAGCCAAAATAAAACAGTGCTTCAACCAGATTCTCATTTCCTAAATACTCCTTCAGTTCATAAGAAAAGCATCATTCCATAGTCAATCTTGGTCTTATCTTAACCAGATATTCCTGCTTCCAATAAGGTCATGAAAATACCACCTGGGTCCATGCCACAGCTTCTAGTACCCCACATACCACTCTCTACAGGCTCACAGTGCCTTTAAAAACCTTCTGAGCAACATTGAAAATTTTGTTACTTACGTATTTAGAAGCAAGTCTGCTTATCATTTAGAAAAGTCCTTGTAACACTTCTTGTCTCTCTCCCCCATCTATTGCTTTTCAAAAGACTTTAAGAGCAAGGCCTCGGCAACAAAGTAATGTATCACGTGATTCAATTTACATCTGTGCATTAGAACAGGTTTACTTGATATCTTAGGGATCCAAAGTGTAACCTGAGAAGATGAACTCACCCCCTTTTCTTTATAAAAATGCTGTTATCAGAAGGTATTACTTAACAGAATCTTCTATAGAATTGTCAAATCACTATATTGTACACCTGAAACTAATATGATATCATCTGTTGACTCTACTTCAATAGTAATAAAAAAAAAAGTCAACAACCAGAATCTATTAAAATCTGCCTGTAATACTGAAAAATGATATACGTGTGTCCTCAAAATAATTTCACCTTTCAGGGAAGAAAACCATACTGAAGTTCATTTCCTATTGCTTCTTCAGTTCTCCTCTATAGATAACTTATGAACATCCTTTGTCAAATGTTTTACATGCCAGGCTCTATGTTCGTCTGAAGGTTTAAAAGATGATCAATTCATCATCTCCATGAACCAAAGCATAAATGGATTAAAAATAGTAAAATTGGACGCAAATCCAGGTAACCATACCAAACTTAGTAAAAAAAGAACATGGTTCACCTTTTGGAGGAATTGTCTAAAATGATCCACTCAGTCACAATTGTCCTTTTTTTCAGCAATGATACACCAGTTGCCATGATCATTCCCAGAGCTCAGAACATGCAGCTCTGCCACGTGCTCCTTCAGCAGGCCATAGAGCTCACCTTCTCGAAACACATGGTAGTAGCGCATAAAGGCTCTGGAATCCAAAACGTTGGGCTGTTGTTCTTTGACAGAAATTGTCTTGTCTGGGTTGGAATCTGTGGAGTTGAGTGCAGGAATCCTTTTCAGTATTTTACTAGCAGAAGGGTTCCCAACTTTCACATTACCGGCATTCACACAATTGTCACTGGGATGGGCGCCTTCCAGAAAATTCCCATCTCCATTTCTCCTAACTTCTCCTTGTTGGTCTCCATGTAGATGTTTCATTGCGGCTGATGCTCTCGGCCACTCCAGTGGTTTCTGAGAAGTCTCCACAAACACATCTTCGTCTAAATTTTGTTCTCTTATTGAAAATGGCTCTTGATGATCTAAGTCTAGGCTGGAGTATCTGGAAGGCTGGATGGATATTGTGCTATTGGCCCAACCTTCTGTATTTTTCAAGGGTCTTGCTCTTTCAATCTGCTTCCTCAGAGTTGATTCATCCAAAGACCTAGAGAAAAACCAGGAACGAAAAGATTTTCCTAAGGTGTTATAGAATCCATTTTCTTCCTCCCCTTCCTTAGAAACATCTGCACAACAGTTTCCAGCCATCAGTGGTTCATAGTCCATGCTGTGGGACCGTTTTGAAGGACACTGCTCTTTAAAACAAACAGAACAGCTACAGATGGAGCAAGGAGGGTGGTAGGAATGGCTTCTTTCTGGATGTCCACACTGCTGCTTTCTCCCAGGCTGGCTGGAGTCTGAGAAAAGCTGGGAGCATAAAGCCCTGTTCCATGGAACGAGCACATCTTGTTTCTCAAAATGTCGGTTCTTTTGTTCCATGGCCCACACGTAAATCATCAGCTGGCCTCCAGGAACTAAGACCCTGGCCATTTCTTTAATTGCTCTGATTCTTCTCTGTTTTGTAGAAAAATGATGTATGACTGAAAAAGAAGAAATTAGACCTCAGCGTGTATACACATACATAAACCTACACGTTCAGACACTAGTATTTTCCATATAATAATGATGCAATTTCAACATCCAGTAAAACTTCCTTGTTTCCTCCATGGCAGGACAAATGGTGGGACTAGCACAGCCTCAGTTTGGGAGAGACATAATTTTTATCTCTGGCTCCTGTACTTTTTAGACAATTTGGGACTATAATTTCACTTCTATGGATTTCAGGTTTCTTTGCTTATACTAAGGCATGTAAATAATGTATAAGTTCTAAATCCTCCCAGGTCCCAGATCCTATGAAATTTATTAACTAGAAAGATGACCAGTGTGCATTCATGGAATGTTCATGGAAGCACTGTTACATAATTATGCCCTTGTAGAAGAACTATGAAATGATTCCTTGCTTTAATGAATGATTGGCACTTCTAAAGCATCAAAAGGTTAACACCACTAATCAATGTGAATAAAATTAATAAAGCAAACAAAAATGGAAAAGAATGTTAAAGATTATTTTCCTATTTAGATAATGCAAGATAAGCCAGCCAAGCATGAGTCCAAATGATTGCTAAACATATTAATTTTTAATAGAAAGTGGTTGTGTATGTATTTTAAAAAAAATCAATGTGTCATTCATTGTTTTACTTCCAAACCCTGAAAAGTTAAAGTGAGACTCAAGTAGGACTGCCTTTATCAAGCCTTAAGTGTGTTATTATGCATGTTTTAATCAAATGCTATGAGGAAATTGCCAGTCTATTAGTTCTGAGAGGAGTTTGATCACAGTACTACGTCAAGAGAAACAACCAGATCGTTTTTCCACATGCAAAGGTATGCCCTGCCCTGCAGTGTTTCAGGTAGGAAATTAGTTCCAAGGGGAGTCCGGTATGAGTAGTGAGAGGAGAGATGGAGGGGAGGTTGGAACAGGTGCTGGAACCCTCACCATAATCCAGCCAGTAGTGGGGGTTTTAAGCTGATAGATCTCTAGTTTACCTGCCAGGGGGAGACAGCAAATATCTAAAATGAGATTATTATGTAGATAAAGCTATTAAAGGAAGATCATTCAAGGCATACTTGATCTTGTTCCCAATCAGGTTTTCATTCCTATCAGCAGCACACTGGTGCCTCCTACTGTCATGCAGCAATGTGGGAAGCCAGAGGTATGAGGAGGCTAAAACGGGTCTGCAGAACAGGATCCCTGTGTATTTTGTCCTAGATCCTGTAGATAACTCACTTTGTGATCTTTGACCAATCACTTGACATCACTAGGTCTCAGACTATTCCCCACTCCCATTCCCACAGAGCCCTTTATAAAGGTTAATTTGAAAGCTTGCATTGCTGAAGGCAGACTTCGGTCACATAGCTAAAAGGCACAAAAGGAGGCACAAAGGTCAGGACAAAAATTTAGGATGATGCTAATGTGGATATCTATGACTATTCCTGGTTGTTACTATCTCCCATGACTTGTACCTAATTCACTCCAGAACTTCTGTGGGTCTAACTTCAAAATATGGTCAAATCCTTGTTATCTGCAAATACTGTATTTGCAAATTTTGCTACTTGCCAAAATACATTTGTAGCCCCCTCCCCACCCCAAATAGCACTCTCAGTGTTTTCATGGTCATTCACTGACAAACACATGGTGGCAAATATTCCCAGAGGGCATGTTCCCAGCTGAGGCCAAACCAGGGAACCTCTCCTTCTTTGTTTTCACTTGCCTCCTGTCGACCAGTGTCCTTTCATGGTCTATTTAGTGACACATTTTCTGCATTTTGTGCTTTTTGTAGGTGATTTTGCTGTTTAAAAGGATCCCCTAGCATGGTGCTCAGGGGTTCCTACTCATGAGAAGACTGGGATATGTCTTTTAGAGCAAATAAATGTGTTTACAGAAGCTTCATTTAGGCTGTTAGCATGAGCTCAAAATTAAATGAGTTGTCTTTAGGAGAACCTGTGTGGCTCAGTTGGTTGAGCATCTGACTCTTGATTTCTGCTCAGGTCATGATCTCAGAGTTGTAGGATGAATCCCTGTCTCGGGCTCTGCACTGGGCACAGAGTCTGCTTGGGATTCTCTGTCCCTCTCCCTCTGCTCCCCTCCCCCCAATTCTCTCTCTTTGAAAAAATAAATACATAAAAAGTTTAAAATAAAAAATAATTTTAAATTATAAGTTGTCTTTAAACAGAAGCACATGTAAAACAAGGCTGTGTATTAACCAGTTGACAAAAGTGCTACAACCAGAGGCTCACAGGAACCTAGGCCCTGTATTCCCCTGGGATGATGGCTCTGTTGTATTCACTAATTAAATGTTCACAGAGACTTTAGAGAATATAATTACTGTGAATAATGAGAGCTGACTATGTTGCTTTGCCCCCCCCGCCACCCCCCCCAAGCCTCATTAAAACTGGACTGCTTTAATATAATCTCTTTTTAACAGAGTTATAGGTTTTCAACATTTCAGGATTCTGAGCTTCAAAAGAAGCCATTTTTCTAAAAAAGAGGAAAGTCTTTATATGTATTTGTTTCTTAAACATTTGTTATATGGTGATCCATTTTTAATAGCATAATATCATCCAGGAAATATCTGAATCTTTTATATTGTTGTTGTTTAAGACTTTATTTGTTTATTTGAGAGAGAGAGCGAGCGAGCACTAACAGGGGTAAAGGAGGAGGGACAAGCTGGATCCCAGGACCCCAAGGTCATAAGTGGAAGTCAGACGCTTAGCCAACTGAGCCATCCAGGTGCTCCTATATTGTGTTATGTTTATATTTAACATACAATACTAAGTAACCTTTAGGCCTAATTTTTTTGGGAAAAGTTTACAAATGAAGATTTCTTCGTTATATAAAAAATCTGGGATCCCTGGGTGGTGCAGCGGTTTGGTGCCTGCCTTTGGCCCACGGCGCGATCCTGGAGACCCAGGATCGAATCCCACGTCGGGCTCCCAGTGCATGGAGCCTGCTTCTCCCTCTGCCTGTGTCTCTGCCTCTCTCTCTCTCTCTGTGTGACTATCATAAATAAATAAAAATTTTAAAAAATCTATTTTATATGCATATATATTTTAAAACATTGTAAGTATAACCAAAATGAGACATGAAGATACATTTACATGAATTATCAATGTCAGGAAACTGTATTGAATTTTTAAAGGATTAAAAAGAACCCTTTTGTTTAAAAAGCATAATCATATGCCTTTATAACTTAAAGGCAAAAATAGTACAATATAGGTATTCTATAGCAATGTGTTCCCGCTGAGACCCCAGAAAATAGGTTGGTTGAATTCAATTACTGGATTCTAGAATCAGAAGGGAAATTGCACAAGATCATCTTTAAAGTCCTGCTATATCTTGCTATTTTATTGTTATCTAACTTTTCCCATATACAGGTCTCATCTCTCTATCTAAAAGCATTCAGAATCCATAGGTGTAGCCAAAAGCAAGAGTGTTCCAACCTCAGCACTACTGACATTTCAGGCTAGAAAAGTCCTTGTTGTGGGGGCCATCCACTAGGTGACAGTAGGTTGTACATACATACAACCAGTCGAGCCAACTGAAAATGTCCCAGACATGGACAAGTGTCTTGTAAGGGTGGAGGTGGCAACTTAATCCCAAGTTGAGAACCAATAGCATAAAATAGTTGTTGGCCACTATTTTAGTGTATTGCTAAATTTTCATAGAATTGTCAAGCTATTCTAGAAGTGGCAAGACTGTTTCTCTTATCAATCTGTCAGTAAAACTTAAGGAATGTATAATTAGGTATGATACTTTTCAAATTATTAAGAGACACAGAAAAGCAATATATATATATATATACATATTTTTTTACATATATACCTACATATATGTACTTCTTCATGTTAAAATTAGCAAGAAGTGCCAACATACAGGATTCTAAATAGGGAAGTAAATATATATGGACATTATCAAAAGTTTTCATAATATAGTGCTAAACATGAAACCTAGCTGAAAATGACCATATCACATTAATTTATAGGTACAGTTCCTAAAAATACATGGTGCACTTCCACCTAAGGAAGCATTTTTCTTCAGAAGATGGCAACCAGGTGTGTTCCATTTCTTCTGCAGACAAAGCATGAGACTTATGAAAGCAGAGAAGGACTTAACCACATACATGTGGAATGTGGATTGGAAAGCCAGGCAGTTTGAAAATCATAATCATTTTTTAAATGATTGGATTTGGATTAGAAAGCAGGGAAGTATCCTTATACCCAAAGTAGTGCCTCAGCGGCACAGCCTGGACATGGGGACTCTAAGACTAATGTAAATGAACAAAAGAGCAGAGAATACACTTTTCTGACATCTCCCCGACTTCCCATTCCTTAGGTGAAATGACCAACCCAAAAACTCTGTTTCTACTAAAGATTCAAATCATTGTGATGAGTTGCTTGGTGTAACAAGAATCCCTCCTCTTACTGTTTATGCCCCAAATGGACTTAACAGTTTCAACTGCAAGTAAGTGAGGCTGGCACAGAGCAAGTTTCCATGGCAACTGTCTCCTACCAGCCTAACTACTTTCAGGGCTGTGGCATCCAGGCCTGCATCCTCTTACTAAGCAAAGATAGAGTTCCCATCTAATGTCAAATAGATCAAGTCCTCATTACCTTCAGGAGAGAGCAAACAGTCTTACTCTGTATTTTTATCTGGCAATCAGTTTTTTTTTTTATCTAGTCAGTTTTATTTAGGATCACCTCATTTTGACAAAGCTTGTCATAGTCAAATTGATTAATTTTTAAGTGTATTGGAACAAATAAGTGGCTTTGCAAAAGATTTTCCTCTTCTCAGAACTTGCTGCAAGCTTCCCTAGCATATAAATATGACTAGTAGGTTTCAGGATTATGTGCATTGAGTAAAATGAGCCCTACTTGTGTATATTTCAGGCATGGGGTTTTGTTGTTTCTCTTCATTTGTGGCATGTGTGTTTTTATGGGCACACTTGTTGGGAAAATATGAGGAACATATTTCCTAGACTTATGAATGATCTCCGGCAGTAAGAGAGCTGAGTGGCATTAAAAACAATGCAGGCGGGGACCAGGTGAGGCCATCTCCCCCAGTGCCTTGCACACCAGTGAGTGGTAGATTGGATGACACATCCTGTCAGGTGACATTCAATGCATTAGTTTTATGATGTTCTGCCAATAAAGGATACAGTAATGGCCTGATGAAGGTAATATGACTTCTAAAGTTTTACTTCACGTTGGACAAATCTGGCTTCATTTCAATATAACAAAGTATGAAATATTTTTAGTGAGTCAAATTCCCCTAACTCATAAGTCAAAGAAATTGGAATGAATCATCAGAAAGACTACAAAACCAGTTTGAACATTTGACTAGTTAACACAATCATATGTGTACTACCGTAAATACATTTGCGATTAGTCAAATCATCCAGTTGAAATATTTTTAAAAATTAATAAAATGAATCAGACATTTCTACAAAGAATTCATGTTAGGTTGTGAGAATGGCCTCCACCATGTAACGTTATTCTCATGGTGAAGGGCAAACGTGTGACCAGGCTGCCTTACCTCCTATGGAGATGATGGCATCGAAGCCCTGATCCCTAAAGGGGAGATTAAGGTTGTCACATACCATGACTTCACATCCTCTACTCCGGGCAATCTCTACCAATGGCCCACAGTAGTCACAGCCCAGGGTATACACCTGGCTGTTCACTTTAAGATACTTTCCAGTCCCACAACCTGTAAGAGAAAAATCTGCGTTACGTGCTGTCCTTTCTGGGAAATGGAATACTGTCAGTCTTTCTTATGACAAGGAATAGAAATAACTTTGTATTAATGAACTGAAACAGACGACAGCATGGCATGAAGGTATTCACAAAAGCCAAAGAAAAACCTTCAGAGGGCACGTGCATATTTTCATTTACAATAGAAGAGGGAAAGGAATAGGGAAAAAGAAATAATATTTATTGAACACTTAATGAGGTCATGCCCACAGGGGTTAGCACACTAGCTCAACCAAAGACTGTTAGCTGGCTCACGGCAGGGAATCAGAGCTTTGTGGTACCCAGGAGCAGTGCCCAGTCCTTTACAAAAGCTACCTTCATATACATATTTCATTATGCATAGATCTGTATGTGATGGCATTTATTTTCATATTATCTCTTCAGACATTCTTACTACTTGCTGGCTGTGTAAAACAAACTACTGCCCATCATTTTTCATTGGATATAAATAAAATAATTTACACATAAGAATAAATGCTTGTCAAATATTTTTGAATTTGAATAAAAAGGAATTTCAATATCTTTCCATCCAATCTATTGTCAGTCCTAGGTTTTAAATGATCTCTATTGACTCAGTATGCAAACTCTTAGAACTATTATTTTTTCTTAAACAGACCATTTTTGACATCCATTTTCGGGTAGCAGAGACCCAAATAATTCAATATTTACACAACCCAAAGATCTAGATCAATCAGATCTGATACTACAAGAAAGAAAGAAATAATAGGAGAAATCATCTTGAAACAAAGCCTTCTAGGATCTGATACCTAGTGTTATATTTGCACAGACATAGTAGCTAATTCCTTTTTCAGAAATATTTACAGATATCATTAGAGCTGATAATTGTGCCTACTGGCAATAGCTCTAGAGTTTTCTCCCTGAAAAAAATACTACCACTATTCAAGGATTATTAGTTTGCTGCTCCTGAAATATATCACAGTGCTCTAATAACTCCCTCTTCATAGGCCATTCAGAATTATATGAGACAATAAAAGCATAATTAAAGTTCATCGATGCCAGCTGAGACAGTGGTGAGTATGTGAATAAAAAATAAGATTTCCAGCGTGATTATTTCAGTGTAAATGATTGGGTCTCAGAAATATTTTAGATCTCCTAGCTACTGTTTCTAAGAATGCTTATGAGAAAAAGTAATCAATATTGGAGGGGAGTTATAGGGAAGATAGGATTTAGAAAGTATTTCAAAATTGCAGTCCTGAGTATTTCAAAGATGATGGTAATAGTGAAAGAAAAATAATCTTGTAAAACAGTTTGCTTTATTTTAATTGGCTCAGGGGGTACATTTAGAAAAATGAAAGGCCGAATTAACTTAGACTAATAAGAGCAGGTTCAGGATAGACTGCTGATTACCAGAGGGGGCTGGGAAGTGGTGAAACAGGTCAAGAGGATTGAGAGTACACTTCCAGGGATGAGCACTGAGCAATGTACAGAACTGTTGAATCACTACATTGTACCCTGGAAACTAATATAGCACTGCCTGTTAATGATACCGGAATTTAAAAAGTAAAAAAAAAAAACGAAAGAATAGGTTTGTGGATCATGAGAGCTAGAAGGAGATGTTCAGAGGGCGTCTTGCAGTACTGAAGCCACTTAGGCCTTTTCAAATCTCAGCATCTCCTCAAAGGCTTCCAAGGCCCATGACACCCTTGATTTGTCCCATATTCATTTCTGATGGCATTCATTTCTAAGGAGAGTGGTGGATCTCCCAAATATGATGCAGTTATTTATTTTCCAGTTGCATACACTGAAATGCTAGGAAGGGGAAGATTTTATCCTAATGAGGAAATTGGGAAATATTGCTAAGCCTAGTGACCCCATGATCTTAAATGTGCAAGAAGCATATCAGGACATTTTTGACACTGCAGTAAGCTCCAGTACCCAACAGTCATGCCGCTTTACTCAATCTCATTAAATGATAACGTTTCATAGTATTGAAGCGAGCTAACAGAAAGTACAGGCTTACATTCCATTCCCTCTTTTCCATTCTGTGCCTCACTCAAAGAAGAAAACAGATACTTGCCCTAATTCCATGAAATGTTTTGGTGCATGGTGGGCAAGTGTTTGCTAGAAATAACTAATCTGAATGTTTCCTCTTAAGTTTGTAGGCACAACTACATTTTTAAAATTCAGAGGTTTTTTGTTTTTTGGGGTTTTTTTGTTTTTTGTTTTTGTTTTTGTTTTTTTTGCTAAGACTCTTATCTCAAAGAGGATTCTCTTTTCCCATGGGAAAGAGAAGACTAGATCACCTATTTATTTCTCATTTTATATACATTTCATGAAACCAGAGATGAAGGGATATGTTTTATTCTGTAGGCATGGTGCCCGCCACAAAGCAGGAGCCCCACGTTTTTATTGACTCAGTGAAGGAATGGTAAACAGGGAATGACTTGGCAAATCAAATCTGACCACAGAGACTGGGAATAAATACATACAGTTAAGAGGCAAAGGGGATCTTAATTACTGAAAAGTTTATTTTTATTATGTATACACAAATGCTTGTTCTGATGTTGGGTAAGAAAGTAACCTTGCTCAAAAACAATTGAGCTCTGGTCTTTTTCCTGCTTTCTGAACTAATCTAAGTAAAGCTCTCAAACCCCAGAACATCCTCCACACCCCAATGGGACTAGCCCATTTTAGGTAGCAGTATTGCCATGACCGCACAGATCCTAGCATTTCCTCAGAGACCTGGGATTTCTGCTGTTTTTGAACCATCAAAGTTCTTTTCACTTGGGCTATAGCTCCTTCTCACTTAATTCCTGATACCTGCCCTGAATTCTTAGTTGCCATCAGGGACCCTTCACCCACACCTCAGTAAATCAGCTGGACTGGGGAATAGGGTGAGGTGGCTAATAAAATTCTTGTCAACTGAAAGTTGCACCAATTAAATAGTGAAAACATCCTAGGAAACTACTGTATGGGTAAAGCTGGAACCCGATTACCTCCAGATGATTATGACCTATACAAAGTTTTACTAGTAATAAAATATATATTGCTAATCTAATAGCCAGTCAAGTTAGCCAACATAACAACAGACCATTGATTTTAGCCAAGTGGAAAACCTGGAAAGAAAAACATTTCCTTTTGGAGATAGTCATATTATCCTACTTTATTTTGTCTAATTACCTTGGGCTCTTTCTTTTCATTCATTTTTTTCTTTAACTTTACTTGTATTTTAAAACCTTTCTCTAGGGGCACCTGGATGGCTCAGTCAGGTGAGCATCCGATTCTTGGTTTCAGCTCAGGTCATGATCTCGGGCTTGTGGGATCAAGGCCCCCATCAGGCTCTATGCTAGGCTTGGAGTCTTCTTGGGATTCTTTCTCTCCATGCGCTCGCGCTCTCTCTCTCTCTCTCTCTAGACACTCTTTCTAAAATTAATAAAATCTTTTTAAAAAGCCTATCTCTCATTGTGTAATCAAAATAGTTCCATTTGGGCAGCCCCGGTGGCACAGCAGTTTGGTGCCGCCTGCAGCCTGGGGTGTGATCCTGGAGACCCGGGATCGATTCCCACATCGAGGCTCCCTGCATGGAGCCTGCTTCTCCCTCTGCCTGTGTTTCTGCCTCTCTCTCTCTCTCTCTCTCTCTCTGTGTCTATGAATAAATAAATAAATAAAATCTTAAAAAAATAGTTCATTTATAGAGTAGTAAAAAAATATAAAAGCACAAAATTTGAAAAAATAGAAATGGGTAAGAAATATTACTAGATATAATTATGGATTTGCACAGGGGCATCTAAACAGTATCATTTGCACCATAATTTATAGTAGCAAGATAGAACAGACAACATGGATCTGTTAATACGGTGTAAGTACAAATATGGGTTGCTCTCTACAATACAGTAAAGAAAACAGAAGGTGTACTTATGACAGTTTGTATAACATACGGTGGTATGTTACCATTTGTGTAATCAAAAAACGATAATCCACCCATATGTACATATATGGAAATGCTCATACTTAAATATCTTGATTATATAAGCTAATTGCTTCTAGCGTGGGTTGCTTGGTGCTGCAGGACTGGGATGGCATATTTTTCACTGTAAACCCTTTGGTACCTTTGTTACTGAGCCATGTAAGGAGATCAGCTATCAAAAAAATTTTTAAACAATAGGTATTCCTTCTTTTTTGAATTGTTTATATCCTTTCCTCATTTTTCCTTTGAATTTTTGGTCCTATTCTTTCATACTGACTTTGAAGAATGCTCTGTAGATTAAGAAAATTATCGGGGATCTCTGGGTGGCGCAGCGGTTTAGCGCCTGCCTTTGGCCCAGGGCGTGATCCTGGAGACCCGGAATCGAATCCCATGTCGGGCTCCCGGTGCATGGAGCCTGCTTCTCCCTCTGCCTGTGTCTCTGCCTCTCTCTCTCTCTCTCTGTGACTATCATAAATAAATAAAAATTTAAAAAAAGAAAATTATCCAGTTTTCTTTTTTTTTTCCAGTTTTCTATCATATAAAGTTGCAGATATTTTTACTTAGTTTCCAGGGTTTTTTTTGGCTTCATTTATATATGTGTCTAGATTTTTGCCTTATAGAACTTTTAAACTTTTATATGGTCAAAGATATCAATAGAGTTGATCTTCTTTACTCCCAGGTTCTATATTTATATGTTCACCTACTTGACAGAATTTGTTATCCCCAAGTCAGTACTCAAGCACTTGCGTGATGGGTCACCAACAAGCCTGCTTATAGGGCAGCAAAAATTTGGAAAAATCTGAATTGCCTGAGGTGCCCCTGACCAGCACCTTGTTTTGGTTCTCATCCTATCAACAAGTGTCCTTTAGGTGGTCTGTTTACTGTACTTTTTTTTTATTTTATTTTATTTTATTTTATTTTATTTTATTTTATTTTATTTATTTATTTATTTATTTATTTATTATTTATTTATTACATTTTTGTGCTCTGTTAGTGACTTCATGGTGTAGGATGGCTGCTGAGCTTAAGGCTCAAGTGCTGGGTGGGGGCTGTGAGCTGTGGGGTTGGGTGGGGTTCCTAAGCGGAAGATGGCTATGACGAGCCTTATGGACAAGATCTATGTGTTCAGTGCACTTTGCTCAGGCTTGAGTTACAGTGTGCTGGCCTTGGGTTCAATGCTCAAGAATCCATTCTATATAGTAATAATGTGTCTTCAAACAGACATACTCATGAAACGAGGTTAGGGACTGATTTGTTGACAAAAATGCTGTAACTGGAGGTTCACAGGAACCTTGATCCTGCATCTCCCCTAGGAGCCATAATTCAGCATTCACGTAGTCAGTGTTCATGGCAATTTTTACTAACTTAACATAGGTACTGTGAGTAATGACAACTGGATTATCTTTTATGGTTTCTGACTTTCCTTGGTGTTATATATAGAAGGGGATTTTGCCTCTGAGGATATTTTAAAAAATAATCTAGTTCTCAGTCATCTAGTCCTTTAAAGATTTCATTTTCTCATACTTCAATCTTGGCTTCATTTGGAATTTGAGGAGTAAGGTATGAGGAAGAAGCATGTAATTATACTGTTGTCCTAAAGCCACTTACTGAATGGCCTCTTTTTCTTCTAACTGATTTTAAGATTCTGGTACTTTGCTGACACTGTGGGCGGTGAGAGTTCCAAACTCACTGTATCTTCTGAAACCACAGTTAATTTTTAGTAGTTGACATGATAGAGATATTCTCAAAGTCTCTCCATTTCTAGCTGACATGCATTCATTTCCCACATTCCACATGGTTCATATACCACCTCTAATATGTTAAGAAGCCCTGGACATATGTCTGTTTGTCTTCCTAATATTTAGAGTGAATGTTTACAGCAAATGTCAAATCAGAAGGAATTTGTAACTATAGAATTATGACTCTTCTGGGCACAGTCTGTATGCAGTTTCTGGAAAGCAGTTTTAGGTGGGCAAGCCTCCAGTGGGAATCGTGGGAATCCCATCGTGTCTTGAACCTTAGTCTTAAATCTACTGGGTTGTAGTTTACCACTTCTTGATTCAGAAAGATATGAGCCAAAGCCCTCCAGGCAAATCATTTCCAATTAAAGATATGCTTACAGTGAAAGACCTCCAGAATAGTTAAGGGAAAGGATCTATGAAACTAATAAGAGGTTACAGGACTTCTGCAATCCCACAATTCTGGCTTTTCTGTAGAAGGCATGTGAGCCACCAAACAGGATTGGCAACTATGAAGAGTTATCCAACTTTTAACTGGTCAATTTCACCCTCAGTCATTTCTGTCCTGATTTCTTCAATAATGCCAGGTCAATTTTGTTGGTCGATGTATGCAGAGGTGTTTGAATCTGAAAAGGAAAAGCACAATAGACTATATTTCAGACTACATGGCACAACCCTGGGTTACCTATGTCAGCAATGAGGCTGCCCGGCTTCTGCTCCTGGAGGAACTGGCGGACGCGAGGCCATGCTTTGCTCTGCAGGTCGCTGAAGTATGGTGCGGTGCTCTCATACACATCATGCACATGCTGCTGCTCCAGCTGGGCGGCTTCATGGTCCATCCTGGGAATGGAGCCACCCCAAGAAATGCAGGTCAGAGTCTGCTCCAGAGGTAGCCAAAGGAGGATGCAGGTTTCCTAAAATTCGGGACCTACTACCACCAAGGTCATACCATCCTGACACTTTTTTTTTAAGCTGCAAAGAACAGGGGCACCTGGTTGGCTCAGCGGTTAAGCATCTGCCTTTGGCTCAGGGCGTGATCTTGGAGTCCTGGGATCAGGTCCCACATGGGGCTCTCTGCATGGAACCTGCTTCTCCCTCTGCCTGTGTGTCTGCCTGCCTTTCTCTCTCTCTCATGAATAAATAAAATCTTAAAACCCAAAACAATAAACTGCAAAGAACAAAACCTGCACTGTAACCCTGCCATAGCTGTCCAAAGAGTAGTAAATGTAGAGGTTTTTTTACCTGCACATCTTCAGAAAAGAATGGTTTGGAAATGAGCCAGTCATCACAAATTCTTGTGCAAGATCAATTCTTCATTTTGGAAGCATATATAAAAGACTTACAAAATGGTTCTCTCTGGATAAAATCATTTTATCTAATGCTAAGTACATTTTAAAATTTTATAACAGGTAGCTCATCATTCCTGTCCAATCACAAAGCCCTAGTTATTTTATCTTTTTAATGTTCTGGGATTCCAACCCTTTCTGTTTCCATACTGATCCTGCTTTAAAGAAGGTGCTCATCTCTTGCCTGAATTACTTCCATGGCCTGTTAATAGGTTGGCTTGTTTGTATTCACTTTTTGGCCCTCTCAATCCCTTCCCTTATGCCACAACTGTTTTTATAACACATGAATCTACTTGTGTTGCTTTCCGTCTTGGACTTCTTCAAAGGCATCTTACAGCTTGCCCGGTCAAGTTCAGGTGTCATAGGGCATTCAAGGCTCTTTCTGATCTGGCCTTAACCTACCTCTTGAAGCCATTTGTCGCCACCCTTCCCCAGCACTGGCTGCATTACTCAGTGAACCATGGTTTCTCAGTTGCAACACATTCTCTCCCATCCAGGGCCCTGAACAGATGCTGCACTTTACCTGGCTCACCTTGCATTCTTGGCACACATGTCATCTCTTCCAGAAAGCCTTGTCTGGCCTCTCATGCAGGACTGGGCAATCAGAAAGGAGTGGAGAAACATAAGAGTAATCTTAGAGGCCTCTGCTGTGTTGGGTTTAATCCTTTAATTATTCTCTTGAGGCATGTGAGTGAAGGAAAGTGGTCAGGGGCTCAGCATGTGGCTTTTACCAATTAATGTGAAAGTATCCTCGATCATTTGAGAACCCCACAGGTGCGCATCAGCTAGTTTGATCCCTCCCATTGTACTCCTGTGTGTCCCATGCATAATTCTACAGAACCAAAGGGCTATGATAGTTTATTTGATATTTTCCTCTAGCCCTGGCTGGAAGATCCTCGAGATCAAGGGCTTGTCTTATTTAATGCTGAATCCCCTGGGGTTTGCACACAACATACCGTCAATAAGTGAACAAACACAACCAGAATGGAGCCTAACCCTGAGTGCAGAGGAGGGTACTGGCTTTGGTAGAAGAAGGAGTGACTCTGGGGAGTGTGGGAAGAGAGTGGCCTTACAGTCACAAGCTTGCAGATGAGAAAGGGACCTGAGAAGGGTGCCATCTCTAGACAGCCTCTGTGTCCCATTCTCCACCCTCCATCCCCTCATCACTTCTACCCAGGAAAGTAGGAAGCACTTGAGCAAGGCAGCGTCTAATTAGTAACTACAAAGTACCTTCCCTTCTTACTCCCCTTTACATTTAAGCAATATCTTGTGGAGGGATACACTTTGAGACTGCATAAATATCGTTTCTCATAGGCTCATCCACCAATTTTAGCATCCTATCCATTGGTGGTTCTTGCCCTAAACAGTTAATACTACAGTTATCACCAAATGATGATAGTCTAATTCCATCATTCCTTCTCTTACAAGGAAGAGCTTTTTAGGATTTACTCTTAAAAAAAACAAATTAGCAGTAGACTGTCCTTAATTACCCTGGACCTGCCCACAGCCCCTGCAAAAAAATCTGGCAAACTCCTAACAGAGTACAAAATTCATTTGTGAGGTCTGACAAAACTTCCACCCAAACTGAAACAGCTTATGTTGCACTCTCAACTGGAATTTACAAAGTAAACATATGGCTGGCTATGACTGCCTACACACCAGAAAAACCCAAACACTGAGTGCTTTTCTTTTTAATCAAAATCTCCGTAGACTTAAGTCTATTTAACACTTTTCCACTCAAGGAATCAAATCCAGCAATGCAATTTTGAGGAACCCTAGAACAAATAAATTTACTTTCTTGTACTTGCACACATTAAGTGGCAATTAACATAAACTTGATTATCTTCAATCTGGCTCCCACTACAAGCTAAGAATTTGTAGTAGCTAAAGAGTTCTCCTTGGAGACCTTCCTCTGAGTCCTCTCCCAAATTGGTTGGCCTGTGCCATACAGAAAGAGATATTTTAAAGTGTGTGAACAATATAAACCCATTTTGTTTTTATTGTATTTTACAGCTGAGGTTATGGACTGCAGAATGAATAGCTGACCGTGAAACTGATTTGTCGAGTTGGGGCTCTCCAATGTGTGACATTTTTAACACTGGATTTAAATTTCCTGCAATATTTTCCATATGAATTTTATACATCAAGGCAAATTCTTTGTGAGCTAGGTAATGTGATTAAGCTAGTGGGATCAGTACTAAGAGCACAGGGTTCAAGGTGAAGCTAGGGAGATAGGATTTGGTTTAGCCAGGCTTCTTAACCTGTATGCTACCAAGTTCTAGGCCCTTGTAGCTAGCCTTGTTGGTGAGTCATGAGAGAAGGGAAAATAATTTGAAAGGCAAGGAGAAGTCCGATGAAGTAATGCACTGAAAATTCAAGGAACTAATTTAGGTTTTACTCTGAGTGCAATGGAAAGTAGAAAATAGTTTTTAAATTGGTAGATGGGTTGGAGGGTAGGTAATATGATTGGATGTATAATTTTAAAAGATTGCTCTAGGCCTATCTAATTCTAAGTAGACTAGAGTAGCTGTTGTTATTTGTCCAACCAAGTTCACCACCCCCCTTATTCTAATTTGTATCTTGTCTTCTTGGTCACAGAGGCCAAGAGGTCACAGGCATGTGACCAAGGCCTGGCCAATCATGGTACCATATCCCTAGACATAATCATTGGTCCAAGGTGGGCAGGTGATATAAGGTGAGCCAATTAGAGTCCCTCCTGGAGATATCTCCGTGTGGCTTTGGGGCACCTGAGTGGCTCATCAGTTAAGCGTCCAACTCATAACTTCAGCTTAGGTTATGATCTCAGGGTTGGGAGATAGAGCCCCATGTGGGACTCTGCACTGGGTGTGGAACATGCTTCAGATTCTCTCTCTCTCCTTCTCCACCTGCCCCTCCCTGCCCCATTCCCACTCACACACACACTCTCAGAATAAATAAAAATAAAATTTTAAAAATAAAAATAAAGAACCAGTGGCCTGTCTCTGGCATCACCAGAGGTAGAAAGATGAAAGATCAGGCTGCCCATGACTATCTTTCCCTCACATGGAAAAGACCTGTCTTTAGGTAGAAGAGAATGAAGTCAGGCAAAGTAAACAGATGAGAGAAAAATGCAGAGAGAAAAAGAACCACAGCCCACAGAAAGTCCTGGTTCTACTCCCTGAGACTTTGGTTTTTACAGTCCTGGGGGCCCGACACTTCTTATCCTACCCAACTCAGGGTCAGTCAATTCCCCTTTGTACTTATGATTGTTGGGTTTCTGACCTGACCACCACAGGAGTCCTCTTTAATCCAGCATTACTTCTTATACGAAGAGCTTGGGTTTTTGTCTGCATCTAGCTTGTATTCCTTGTGAAATGGAAGAGAGGAGAGAAAGTGATAGAAAAGTAACAAGAGAGGTCAGTCCCTTGATGTCCTTTCCCATGGAGAGAGGAACAAAGAGAAGGATCTCAGCAATGCTTCTAGCAACAGGGTCATCATTAAGAAGTCACCAATATTTGGTTGCCCTGTTCTAAGATAACACCTCTCCATCCAATTTCATTCAGGCAAAGTTTGAATTTTGTCCATTAAATATGTTCAGAAAGATGTAGATTGTGTTTGGGCAGAAGCTTTAGGAGCCGAGTAGGTAGCTCCAGTGCTGTTTTGCATGTTTCTGCAAAATCATGGAAACAGCAGCATAGTCCCCAAGCAACTGCTCTTGATGGGCAGACAGTGTGGATATTTTAAGCCAAAAAAAGGGGAAATAAACAGCTCATGTAAGAAATGTTGAACAGGTAACGAAAAAGTAAAAATTATCAATCATATTCTATTAGAAGTTACCTTGTTACTATGTGAGTCAGTCTTTTTCCTTCATAAATATTAACATTTTCCTTTTTACTACAGATGTAACAAAACTGGGAGAAAACTGAGACAGTACTGCATTCCGCTTCTTAAAACTTAATTTACTATTGTGAGCCAAGAAGCGACTTTTGTCTCTGGTTTTCTCCAAACTTCTCAAGTATAATTTCCTTCATCCAGTAAATGCCACAGGACCCTAAATGTTTCAGAGTCTACAGAGTACTATAAGGACTTAAGCAATGCTACCGGATTCTGGACTCTAAAGAAACAATGTAAAATATACAGGTTTGGTTAGCCCATAGTATCTAACACTAACTAGTCTTAAATATAATAGGTATAACCATGTTTAATGAGTAAGTGAAAACTGAAACTCCAGCCAAAGCAACAATATTTTTAAATTATTTTAACAGTTTAGGAATAATTGACATATAACAAACTGCATATATTTAATGTGTGTGATTTGATAAATTTTATACAAATGCATGTGGGGAACCATGAGACAATTACGATAATGAACATAGCCATCACCCACAAAGTTTCCTTCTGCCCCTCTGTAAGCCATCCCTCTCACATGTCAGTCTTTCCTGATGCCATCTTTCTGGGCAAAAGAAAAAAAAGGGGGGGGGTAGAGAAGTGCACATAGAGACATGTCCAATACCCATAATTTCACATGCAACTTTGAGATCTGAAGTGAGTACCAAATATGAAATACTTTTAATGATCACTGGCAAACTATACACATATACCACACACATGTATAAATAGTAAAAATAATTCAGAGGAGCCGAAAAGGCTTTCTGAAAGATTTTCCTAGTATCTCATCAAGGAGATGAGACACTGCCCTTGAACCCCAGAGAACACAGGGAACTCTGAGAGGCCTTGTTTAGTCCCCTGGAGTGGTTCCTTGTCCCCAGGGAGGCGTCACCAGAGCTGCAGAGTCTCAGGGCAGTTCCTATAGTAACCACTCCTAGAAAGGCAGCTCCAAGACTAGGATCATAAGCTCTAAGCTCACAGCCCAGTGACCAGAAGGGATCTGTCTTTTGTTTGTGATGGGAACTTCTGTTAAATTTTATCCTGAGTTTCTTTCCACACCACTATTTTCTCCTTCATGTTTGGCTCAATGGAAAACGCACTCATTTGTTTTCTTATTTAATTGTATCCAGATACCTACCTACTGACTACATTTCTGAATTAAACCCTCTTTCTAGGAGGTCAAACAATAAAACTTGGAGGAAAAAAGAGCTTCTATATAACCTTGGGCTAGGTTAAACTTTCTTCAACAGAAAGACCTAACTGTAAAAGGGAAAATAAATAAATTAGACTGTATTAAAATTAAGATATCCAGGGGCACCTGGGTGGGTCAGTCAGTTGAATATCTGACTCTTGGTTTCAGCTCAGAACATGATCTCAGGGTGGTGAGATAGAGCCCTGTGTCAGGCTGCATGCTCAGCATAGAGCCTGCTTAAGATTCTCTCTCCCTCTGCCTCCCCCCCCGCCCCCGCTCACACTCCTCTTGCTCTCATTATCTCAAATAAATAAATACGATCTTTTAAAAAAATTAAGATATCCATAGGAGAGTGAAAATTCAACCCATGGGATGTGAAAAGATGGTCATAGTACATACGTCTGACAAAGGATCTGTATCCAGAATATGAAGATTTCTTCCACATTGTTAAGCAAGAGGCAAACAACTCAATATAAAAATCAGCAAAAAAAAAAAAAAAAAAAAAAAAAAAAAAACCTCAAAACTTCACAGTGGGCAGGAGATGAACAGGAAACACACAAAAAGTGTGCATCTTCATTCATATCAGGCAACTGCCGATTAAAACCACACCATGATACCACCACCTATGCAAGAGGATGGCTAACAGAAAAAAGACAGAAAATGCCAAGTGTTGGTGAGAACTGGGAGTGTCCAGAATCCGAATATGCTGCTAGGAGAATCATAAATTGTGTCAGCCTGTTGGGAAGACTCTTTGGCAAGTGACAACTAAGCCAAACATATGAGTATCCTGTGGCCCAGAGATTGTACTCTTTATGTATATGTATATGTATCCAAAAGAAATGCACACATATGTTTACCAAAAGACAGTCACACTCTTCAGAATAGCACAGACCTGGAAATGTCTATCATCAGTGGAACAATCAAATAAATTGCCATGAATTCATACAAAGAAATACTGCCGGGTAATAAGAAGGAAAAGTCTGTAACTATATGCAGTGAGATGGCTCAGTCTCATAAATAAAATGTTAAAAGAGAAAGACACAAAAGAATACGGAGTGTAGGATTCCATTTATGCAAAGTACAAAAACAGGTAAAGCAAACCTGTGTCATTAGAAGTGGAATAATGGTTACCTGGGGGCATAGGAATTGCAAAGGGGGGCACTGTTCTGGGGTGTGGGTAATATTCTATTTCTTGATCTGGGTCCTGTTTACATGAGTGTGCTTATTTTGTGAAAATTCATCTAAGTGTACATTTATATGTGCTCTTCTGTGTATTTCAATGTAAGAAAACCCTTTTACTTTCAGACAATTGTCCTACTATGAACTTTAAAGCATTTTAAAACCCACAGCTGAGCAGAATATCCTTTCTCAGCTGTG